GCCTAGCGTGCCCTAATGGTAACGAGGTGCTCCCAGAGATAACGGACTCACTCGAACCCGGGTTCGAGTCCTTAATCTGGGATTCTCGTTACAATTTTTTTTTTTTAATTTATAAAACGGATTCTGGGAATCCGTTTTACAAATAATTTGAATTGTAAAACGGGTTCTCCAAATACGTTTTACGTTAAATATAAAAAACAAAATCGGCTTATACAGTTTATAGTTTATAGTTTATATATTATATTTTATAGTTTATATGTTATACTTATATAGTTTATATGTTTATATGTTATAGTTTATAGTTTATAATTTATATATTATATAGTATATAGTATATATTATTTATAGTATATACTGTATACTGTATACTATATACTATATAATATATACTATATATTATATAATATAGACTACATACTATATACTATATAATATATACTATATGTTAAATTATAAACTATATGTATATACAATATATTAAAAATACTATATACTATAAAAAAATTTGATGTTGAAGGATAAGAATAAAATTTGCGCAAAACTTTCAGTGATAGCCTTGTGCGGCCTAATGGTAACGAGGTGCCCCCAGAGATAACAGACTCACTCGAACTCGGGTTCGAGTCCTGAATCTGGGATTCTCGTTACAATTTTTTTTAATTTATAAAACGGATTAATATATAAAAAAAAAAACATGCTTCTTCTTCTTTCACGCGAACAGAAACCGAACACACACACACAGAGAAGAGAAAGAGAGCGAGAGCGAGCGGAGAGAGCGAGAAAGAAGCTTCGTGGTCGGAAAAGTTTGCCGAACATTCGACTAACCATCACCACCGGACCTCCCTTCCCGTCTATTAGGTACGTTTATTCTATTAGGCTTCGATTTTTTCAATTTTTCAATCATTTTCGAATTAGGGTTTAAATTGAATATGTTGTTTGAATTATATATAATGTGTTGTGATTGAGATATGTATGTATGTTGATCAATTGTTTGATAATTTTGTTTGATAAATTGAGTGGTTATTTGGAAATTGATTAGGGTTTTGTAGTTTGTTTGGAAATATATGATTTGAAGGTGTTCGATAAAATGCCTCAAAGGGATTGTTGTACATATTACTGACATATTGTGAAGTTGTGATGATTGTGATGAGGTGAATTTATTTGTGAATTTATATAATATGTTTAGGGATTATTTTGTCGATTAGAGATTATTTTCGATTTATTATGTATATGATTTTTGAATTTGTGGATTTATTGTTTATTTCATTTATTTGTGTTTTTGTGATTTTTTTTGTGTGAATATGATTTTTTTTTTTTTTTTATTGAATATGATTGTATTATTGTAATATAATTAATTATTGTTAGTATGTAGTATATAATGATTGTTTTTTTATATTGGCAGAAAATGACATCTTCGTCGTCTTCGCAACCGCAGCGCTACAATGTACATCCCGGTCCGAGGGATCCGTCCGCTCTATATCTTCAGTACTGCCACCGGTCGAGTGATTTGTTCGAAGATATAGGCGGATGTCGTGACGGCGTCATTAAACCCCGCCGTTTCGACACTCAGTTCTGGAAGGCGTTGGATCACCAGCATCCCAGAGTTTGGGATGCCATCAAGAGGACGGGATTTGGCTTGCTGTTTCGAATGGGTAGAGTTATGACCGACAACAGCCTCGTCACGTGTCTGGTGGAAAGGTGGCGACCGGAGAGGCATACCGTCCACTTTGACTTCGAGGAGGCCACCATCACGCTGCAAGACATACAAGTCCTTTTTGGTCTCCCGATCGATGGAGAGCCTTGTTGGGGAGCGACTCAAGATAACACACCCCATAAATGGCAAGAAATTTGTAATGATTACCTAGGGTTCGAGCCCTATGTTCAGGTAAATTTTTTCTTACAATTTTGTTTTTGTGTTTTTAATTTTATTTATGTTTACTCAATTCATTAATTTATAATATATATTAACCACTCTCAGAATCCCAACGAACCGGTTCAAGACCCCAAGACTTGGGCCATTCATGGCCAGTATTTGAAGGTCTATGCGTTAGAAGACGAGTGCAACAGAGAGCTAACCGATGTAGAGCATATCCCCACCTACGAGGCGAGGGCGAAGGCCCTTATACTCTGGTGCATCGGTTCATTCTTCTTCCCCGACCAGAGGGAAAATGGAGTGAACCTGTACTGGTTGCAGTTTTTGCACGACATTGATATGATCAAGACGTACAGCTGGGGTTCGGCGGTCCTGGCCGAAGTGTATAGAGCGCTCTGCACGAGCGCCAAGTCCGGGAAAAACTGGATCAAGAACTGTATCCAATTGATTCAGGTAAATTTATTTGCTTCTTATTTGAAAATTCATTTTTTTATTCTAATTTAGACTAATATCTAATAACAAATGAATATGTCAATATGTGTAGGTTTGGGCATATGAACGTATCCCTCGTATTCGCCCAAGAATGAGGGATACGAACTTTGAGAGAGTCGCTGCTTGTCTCTTAGGTGGAAGGTAATAAAATTTATTTATACTTAATACTTAGATTATTTCCACTATCAAATTTTGTGATTACAAATTGTTTTTTTTTACTGTGATTTTTAAGGTGGGTGGGAAAGAGGAGCACGACACACCTGGGCAAGGGAACAACCACCAATCGGGATCAATTGACAGGGCTCACAGAGACGGATGTAAGATTATTATTATTATTTTTATTTGTTGTTTGTTTTAATTTTTGTTATAACTTAATTCCTAATTATTATTTTTTTTGTATATTTTTTTTTTCAGTTCAAATGGCTACCCTATCAGTGGCACCTGCAAGCGAATGTTCTCCCGGCCCAGTGTACAGAAAGTTCACACCTCTGGATGTATAGGGGGTGGATCTTCAACTGGAACGTCCGTGAACTCCACCTGCCTGATAGGGTCCTCCGTCCGTTCGATATCAATTACACCATCGAGGCCAGGGGATGACTGGGAGGCCAGTTTTTGATTGGGTCGCCTTTCACGGAGAGCTTGGGAATGCTTGGGTCAAACATTGAGACGAAATTGTTGTCCCAGCCCTTGCAGTGGAGCCATTCATTGAGCCTGAGCCGGGTTACCTTGATTGGTTTCACAGTATCACTGTGAGACTACTCGGTGACCCTGCCAAGTACGCGGTGGCCTAACCGGACAGAGGCTTTCACCCACTTGCCGAGCAGGGGAAGTGCGATGTAAGTAATATATATTTGTGTTTTATTATTATTATTATTATTATTATTATTATTATTATTATTATTATTATTATTATTATTATTATTATTATTTAGTTTTTGTTTCATTATAATTGACTTTGAATTTAATTTTCAGGCTACCTCCATGGAGGGTGCTTTTCACACGTTATCTAACGTGGACCACCTACAACATACACTCCATCCAGATGTGTTGACGGCATTCCAACAGGCCAAGAGCCTTCTATACAGTTCTCTGGCTGTCAGAGGCGGAGACGTCGCACAAGGGACGTCGTCGAGCTAAGTTCTCTCGCAGGAGAGCTACGTCCGATCCCAGAGGACGCAGTCACACCGGGCGAGGCATCGACCTGCTCCCAACATTGGTGGAGGTAGAAGACGACGCGACCGCCAACCCGTTGCCGACACCGTGCCTCAGGAAGAAGAAGAAGAAGAAGAAGGTGAAAATTTTTAACTTAACACAAAAATAATTTTATTTATTGTATTTATGTGATTTTTAAAAAAATGATTTACTTAGGTGAAGAAGAACAAGAACAAGAAGAACCTGTCACGCCCACAGCATCGTCTACTTCACAACAACCACAACGTCGGATCAGCCACCGACAGCGCAATCCTACGAGTCGATACACTCCTAATTAGTTTGTGTTGTATTCAGGGAATTTTGTGAACATATTTTTTTTTTCATTCTATATACTGATATTTGTGTTTTGAATAAATTNTTTTTTTTTTTTTTCCGAAACGATAGAGATACTATTATTAATCAAAAGTGCACAAATGTGCGAATAAAAATACAAAGCTCCCAACGGGAGAATAAAATGGGAGGACAGGTCAGAAGCCTGCCTAGAATCCCGCTAGCAAGGCTAGAAAAGACTCGAACTAAACAAACCAACTACACGACCACGACCCCAAAGGGGTAATAACAACACAAAACAACACAAAAACAACAACACAAGACCCCCTTTTGGTATATAGTGTATGTTAGATTATTTTGGGAGAATTGATTCATATTAGTTGGTTGAACAGGTTCTGATTTGTTGAACAGGTTGTGAAATGGATCCAAAAAAATATTTTGCATTTTTCTGCAGTGAAAATACGTTTTTCGTAGAATTAGGGCAACATCAATCTTTGGGGAAAAATTGATTTTACACAAAAAAACGTATTTAGAAAATACGTTTTATATATGCAAAAACATATTTATAAAATACGTTTTATATTTCAAAATTTATTTTCCACTGAAAATTTATTTTTAGTGATTTCAATATTACTTTTATTTAAAAAACGTATTTTACGAATACGTTTTATAATTAAAAAAAATCGTATAAAATGTATTGCAATAATACGTTTTTTCTTAAAAACGTATTTCTTCTATACGTTTTTACTTAATTTAATTAACTTAATTACATTAATTATGTTAATTAATTATTATTTAGTAGTTTACTATGAAAACGGATTCGAGTAATGTAAAACGGATTTATAGAATACGTCCTTTTTATTTTTTTCTACCTTTTTTTTTGTCCACTTTTTATTTTTTAAATAAATAAAATATTCTTTTTTTTGCCAGCAATACATCACATATGCCTTTCATGCACGGGTTGACATTCTTGGCACGCAAAAAAGCAGGATTTCTGTTCTCTTTTTTCGCATGAAATTTATCCCTTTTTCTCTTGCTATTCTCCTCCCTTTGATCCATTTGTCCACACTATTTAATCGCGATTAATCTAAAAAATTGTGCCTTTATCGTTTTCAATCTGTGTACCAGACGAAGGTTTGGGGCATTTGATTTGATTTTTAATTNTTTGGGTTTTAAGCAGCCGATTGTAACAGTAGCGATGAAATTTGGAGAAACGTTTACGGAGTATCTGCAGACGAATCAAGAGAGGTTTATGGCGAAATGCTGCTACGTGGAGTACAAGCGCCTCAAGAAGGTGCTGAAAAGTTGCAGGCGGTGCAGGGATTTGAATGCTTCCTCTGGTGCGGACGGCAATGGCGATCTGGAAAACGCAGTGACGCAGTACGGCTATTTTAATTCCTGTCCCCGTGAGTAATTTCCGGTTTTTTACTAGCTTTTGTCATATGGGCTTTCTTCTATTTGAAGAAAATTTGTATCTTTATTGCGATTAGAGAAAAGGGGTTTGGTGTTTGAATTTCTGTTCTAGGGTTTGTATTGAGGTAGTGATGGAACTCTGTGTGTGTGTGTGTGTGTGTGAATTGGGGAGGTGATGATATGCACATTTGTTAGTATGACAGTGTTCGACTTGTAAGTCAAGTGGAAATTTGATCGAAAACCACTTTTTCATCTGGGGTTTCTTCTATTTGTTGAAAATTTGCAACTTTATTGTGATGAGGGGAAAGGGGGTTGGTGTTTGGATTTGTGTTCTAGGGTTTGTGTTGAGGTGGAGATAGAACTCTCTGTGTGTGTGTGAATTGTGGAGGTGATGATACACACATTTGGATAGTATGGCTGTGTTGGACTTGGAAGTAGAGTGGAAATTTAATCAAAAACCAGAATCTGGAGCTGGATTTAGTAATAACTTTTGAGGAGGAAGAAGAATAGCAATGAAAAAATGGCTGGTGTTTACGGAATTTCGAAATGGTGTGTCAAAATTAGCGTTCGCTCCATTTAACAGTAAATGCCCGTTTTATCTAATCATTGATTTTTCATAAGGATTAGTGTTTTGATAGCTACTGAAAATTACTGTTTCAGTCTCAAATTTTTGTGGTAGACATGTGTTTCTCGTGTGTGGCACTTATTCCTGCTTCCACTTGATCCGTCAAGTAACTAATGAAGCTCCATAAATAATGTACTCATATTCAAACATGGATTTTTCCGCACAAATTCAAACTTCTGATGTTTTCAAGCTCTGAGATAATTTCCAGGAGCAAATCTTTCATGCCATTTCTCTGTAATGTTTTCTTGCTCTTGAATCCATATTTGGCGTGTTAAAGTGTTAATCAGCGGACGATTTATTTATGTTGGTTTGTAGTGTGTGACCAGATGTTCTTCACTGAATTGATGAAGGAGGCTTCTGGTGTGGTTGGTTGCTTTAGGCAAAGAGTCGGGCGACTTCTCCAATTTCATATCCATAATGGCATGCAAAGATACTTCACGTATTTGTGCCAGTGTTTTGCCAGTCCCCAGCAAGCTACAGCACAAGAGTGTCGAATGTTAATAGAATATGTTATGATGAATGCTGTGGCCATGCGAAAAATACTTAAGAAATACGATAAGGTAAGTTGCCGCTAGTTCTTTTTCCTTTTTTTTTTTAAATATTTTTTGGATTGATTACAATGGGTACCCTTGAGATTTAGTTTAACTATTTAGAAGAAAAGGCTTAGCAATCTTCCAAAATTGCAAATGTTATCCCCATGAGAAACGTTCTTATTCTACAAGATGCCGTAATTGTCTTTTTCTTTTTGTTTACAATTACGTAACATTATCATATCCTAATGACTTAGTACAGGTGCATGGCTCGGCAAATGGGAGAAAATTCAAGTCTAAGATGGTAGCTGAGCATATGGAGATTTTACAGTCCCCATGGCTTATCGAGCTGGGGGCTTTCTACATGAATATCAATCAATCAAATGATGGACACTCTCAAGAAAATCGTAACCCTTTCTCTTTCCACTTAAATTCGTCAGATCCCATAATGACGTTGATGCTTCCGGATTCTGTAAAATTGGAATACAACCTGACTTGCGCTATTTGCTTGGTAAAAACTAAAAACCAACGGGTTCTCTTTTTTCTCTTCTTTTGTTTCTTCTTCTTTTTCTTAAGTTAAGATGTGTATAGTAGCTTTACTTGTGTGTGTTAATTATTAATTTCAGGAGCTAGTTTTCAATCCATATGCCTTGAAATGTGGGCATCTTTTCTGCAAATCGTGCGTTTGCTCGGCAGCTTCTGTTATGATTTTCCAAGGGCTGAAAGATGCGGATCCAGAATCGAGATGTCCTGTCTGTAGGGAGGTTGGTTTATTTGCATGCTATGAAGCATATGACTTTAATTTGTATGCATATATCATCATTTGAAGAAAAATGTCTTGTTTCTTAAAAAAAATCGGTTTTTTGGGAGCCTTCATTTTGTAAGAAGTTGGCATTTTGAATAACTATGAATAAAGGTTTTTTTTTTCCCTCGACCATGCTGAAACTGTAACTAATGCTTTTAGTACAGGCAGGTGTATACCGTAACGCGGTACACATGATGGAATTGGATTTGCTTATGAAGAAAGAGTGAGTTGAAAATTTTTCACTTGGTTTTTTTATTCTCGTTTTTTCTTTTCTTTTATTGTTTGAACATTGTTGTAGATCAAGTGTGACTCGTTTTAGCTTTTATAGTTGCAAGGAATACTGGAAGGAGAGAATGGTGGCCGAACGTGCTGAGATGGTGAAGCAATCGAAAATCTATTGGGACCTCCAAACTAAATACATGATCGGTTACTGATTTTGTAAGCTCTCGAATGTTTCAAAATCTGATTTCCTGCTAGCGGCCAATAACGCTTCAGACTATCTCGAAAGGAAATATTTAAGATGGTTATAGTGAACTTGCCAAAGTCGCTTTGGTTCTTTGTTCTGTTCTGTTTGATGGATGGTCATGAGAAAGACAAGTCCAAAGTCATTTTGCAGAAGAGGGCTAGTTTTTAGTTCTTTTTGTATTGGAATTTTTTTTAGTATTCTTTGTTCTTTAGTAATTTGCTGATTTTGTCCTTGTAATTTTTTGGTGGTGAAACTAGAAATTTGTGAGGGTGATTGAATTTGAAGGCCATTGTTTATTTAGAATTTGGAGCTTTTGCAATATGTCAGTATTTTTTGGTATTTTGTAATTTTATATGTTAATTTTTAGCATAGTTTTTAAACCCGGCCCGGTGATCGACCCGGGCAGGTCCTCGGGTCACCGGTTCAACCGTCAGGTCACCAGGTCAATTGCTGAACCGGATAATTAATTTTAAAATGTTTAAAATTATATATATAGTATTTTTGTTATATAAATATACATAAAAGTAACAAAATTAAATGTTTTGTGTATAAAATTTATATATTAAAGTGTTAATAATATGTATCTCATGATAAATATTTACCATAAAAACATATATGCATAGTTTTATTTTTAAAAAATAAAAAAAATATAAAAAATATATATGTACCGGGTCAACCGGGTAGACCCGGCCGGGTCGGCCGGGTTTTGACCGGGTTTGACCGGGTCCTTGGTTGCCCGGTCCAAATACTCCACCCGGACCGGTTCCAGCTCCGGGTCGACCGGGTCCCGGGTCGACCCGCCGGGCCGGTTCGGGTCACAAAACAGTGATTTTTAGTGATTAAATTTGAAAATTTGTACATATTTATTAGGACTTTTAGTGATTAGATTTGACATTTATACATTTTTATTAGAACTTTTACAGACTTATAAATTGCTAAACTAATTTAATGAAAATATATTTTAAATCTTAATTGTATGTTAATTTTGATAACAATTTTTATACATGAAATATCAAATCAGTCATCTTTTTACTATCTTTGTTTTTATATACATAAATGAAATATTGCCTTTTGATAATTTTTAATCTGATATTTATATGTTGTATTTAAAAAAAAAATATTATATTTATCTTGATGAATAAAGACAAAAATATCTTCCAATTCTAAATGGATAAAATATTGAAATATGTATCAATCAACTTGACTAAAATTACATATTTAACCAATTGATGCACAATATTGATAAGCAAGTGATATGAATTTCATAAGTTCTTATAATAAAGATGAGCAAAATTTTATGGTGGACATGAATTATCTTGGAAAAAAAAAATAATACTTACAATTTTTTAGTAAGTATGTAAAAATTTATAATAGAACACAATATGTATTTATTTATTCAAAATTTAAAGTATAAATATAATGTTCATGGACCCTAATAATGAAATTTCCAATTCTCTCTTGGAGAGCGATTCATATTTTCATTCTCATTCCCGTGTTGATTTTCATCTCTTTCAAGTATCATCCTTCTAAGTTATTGGCATTGATTGGTTTCTAGTTCCGGTTTTTGTAGGATAACCCTAATTTCTAATGGGATCCCATTACTGTATTGGGCAAGATAATGAAATCCTGCAGAATATGGAACAATTCTCTCTATCCACCAGGGAAGACTACATTATTGATATCGGCCAAGAAGATATTAAACTCAGTGATGAAGAATGCCACCGCAACTTATTTGGGAAAGTTATAGGCGACCAGAAAGCAAGTTGGATTGGGGTTAAGCGTATAATGAGTTTCATTTGGAAGCTTCGTCAGACATGGAGGTCAAGGAACTGGGACACAATTTTTTCCAATTCATAGGAGGACATGGACAGAGTAACAAAAGGAACAAACTGGAGCATTGACAATCAATTCCTTATCCTCTCAGAGTGGCAAGCGGGTCTCTCCAGTAACCATTATGTATTTCAAGAACTCAAGCTATGGGTCCAGGTTTTTAATGTTTCTCTCAACTGGCTGAGTACTGAGGTTGGATTGAAAATTGGTCAAGTCTTCATGTAGGTAAAAAATGTTGTTGTGGTGGTACCAGGAAGTCATGGAGGGAAAGTTCTTCGTTTGCTGGTGACTATTGATTTAACTGAACCACTCCTCGATGCTCCAAAATCATACAGGGTGAACAAATGGTTAGTGTTAGCTTCAAATACGAGAAACTTATAAATTTCTGTCATTATTGTGGATTGGTTGGTCATTTAGATAGGGGTTGCTCAAAATGCATGGAAGACATAAGTAACAAATCAATAAAGGAAGGACAGTATGGTGACTGGATGAAGGCTGTAGATGGGCAACATTGGGCTGGAATGAGTACATCTGGTACAAGGGGTTCACCCTCAGACAACCCTATTCCACCATATCAACAATCACCTTTGAAAACTTCTACAAGCCAAGTGGAGGATAACAACCAACTAGTTATGGTTCAAGGAGACACAACTCAACAACATCTTACAAATTCTAAACTTTCTAAATCTTAAGAGGAAGGAAACTGCAGGCAGCCTGGGTCTCCTGGAAAGATGCAAACTTTGAGCACCGCTCATTTGATTCTATTTGACATAGCTAAAGACTGGCACACTAATGAACCTATCAAAACCATGGAATTGGATGTTTCTAAATCCAGGAACTCTCCACATTAGGCCAGCAATAGCAAGGATGACATTCTGATGACTCAAAAGCCTCTTACCAGAACATGGAAAAGAGCAAAAACCAAAGAGGGTAGACTCCAGAGACAAAATGCTGGTATTGTCATCAGGGATACTCCTGCTCATGGGAAAAGGCACAGATCAGAAATAGAGGATCATACCAATAACAACAAAGGTAAGTCCATTGCCCTAGTTGAGAGTAAGAAATTGAAAACTTCTTCTGATAAGGTGCGGGTGGCCAGCCTCGAGTGGCACCCAAGTGACAAATGTTAGCTGCAGTGTGGAACTGTAGAGGACTGGGTGGGTCCTCTACAGTTTCCCAAATCAGAGAGGCAATCAGAACTCATCACCCAGCTTTTATCTTTTTGTCTGAAACAAAAAAAACATCAATGTTTGTGAATTCAGTAGGAAGTTAGGCTTTGCAGGTAGAACTACTTTGGTGGATCCTAAAGGTACCAGTGGTGGTCTCTTACTTATGTGGAACTCAGATGTACAAATTTTGCAGAGTTTCTCTAAGGACTTCTATATTACAGTAGAATTTTCTGTTCAGAATGGCACCCCGTCTTGGGGTATTTTTGTCTATCTAAGTACCTGTCCTGATACTAGAACTGAACAATGGAGGAGTCTGGAGATACAAAAAAGCTATTGGGGTGACAAGTGGTTTATTATTGGTGATTGGAACGATATTTGCCTAAAAAAATGATAAACTGGGAGTCATACACAGAAGTGACAGAAGCTTGGCAGGATTCAAAGCTTTCATCAACAACATGTTAATGAAGGAGATAAAGATGATTGGCTACCAATTCACTTGGTGCAACAACAGATCAAACGAAGGGCTCCTTGAGGAGAAATTAGATAGGGGATTTGGCTCTGCGGATTGGCTTGCTTCATACCCAAATGCCTCTATCTCTAACTTAATCAAAAGTGCATCTGACCCCTTTGAACTTAGGAGAGAAGACAGAGAGAACCAAACATCGCTTCCACTTTGATAAAATGTGGTTTCTCAAGCCAGACATATCAGATGTTGTTATTTCTGCTTGGAATTCTATACACTCAAGCACTCTCTTCTTTCAACTTAAGGAGAAAATCAAGAGCACCAGGAAGGCTCTCATTTTGTGGTGCTCCAAATTTAAATCTCAGAATCAGTCCAAAATTGAGCACTTGACAGCAAAGCTAGAAATCATGAGAAATAGCAAGATTGGGGATCACTAGGACTCTTGGGTGGCTACTAGATCAGAATCGGAAAAGCACATCAAGCAAAAGAGGCCTTTTGGAAGCAAAAAGCCAAAATTCAGTGGCTTAGAGATGGAGATGGCAACACGAAATTCTTCCATGCATATGTGATGATGAGAAGGAGACAGAATGCCATCTGCAGATAGGTCACCGACCAGAACAGAGAATGTACCTCTCAAAGGGATATTCAAGAACATATTGCTGATTTCTACTCCTCTCTCTTTTCCTCAGAAGGTGCTTGGGGAGGAGACTCCATCATCCACATCATCCCTCAATCCATCACTCCAAGTATGAATCAAGACCTGCTCAAACCAGTGAGTGATGATGAAATTAAAGAAGCTCTCTTTAGCCTCAGTCCAGATAAGGCCCCTGGTGAAGATGGTATGACAACTTTGTTCTTTCAAAAATTTTGGCACCCCATTACACATGTTCTTACTTCTGCAATATCAAGTTTTTTCAGTAATGGCATGCTTCTTAAGTATTGGAACCACACTATTGTCTCACTTGTTCCTAAACAATTGAACCCTAAAACACTCTCTCAATTCCGGCCAATCAGTCTATCTACAGTTGTATATAAGACCCTCTAAAAATTCCTTGCTCTGAGGTTGAAATCTTGTTTGACTGCTTGTATTAGTGACTTTCAGTCGGCTTTCATTAAAGGGAGACAGTTACTTGATAATGTAATCATTGCACAGAAAGCCTTTCACTTCTTAAACAAGCATTCTTTTGGGAAGAACTACTTTATGGATTTAAAATTGGATCTGATGAAAGCTTTTGATCGAGTAGAATGGCTTTGTCTTAAGAAAATCATGATTCAAATGGGTTTTTGTCAGGAGTTTGTTCATCTTATTATGATCTGTGTCTCTTCTTGTACATACTCATTCAAAGTTAATGGCTCAGTTAATGGTTTTGTGCATCCCTCCAGAGGAATAAGACAAGGGGACCTCTTGTCCATATGCCTTTTTATTATTGTTGTTGAGCTGATATCTGCCTTAGTCTCTGCTTCCTCAGAATCAGGTCAACTGCAAGGCTTGAAGTTATCCAGAAATGGGCCTTCTCTTCCACACATACGGTTTGCAGATGACTCCATCTTTCTTTGCAAGGCAAGTGTTGATCAAGCTGTAGCTCTCCTCACACTGTTAGAAAAATATAGATTGTTCTCTGGACAGAAAGTCAACCTACAAAAGTCATTTATCTTCTTTAGTAGGAATACTCCTCAAACTCTCCAAGACAGAATATGCCCCACACTGCATGGTATATCCTCTCATAGGCCAACTAAGTAGTTGGGTTTGCCACTAGGCATTGACCGGTCAAAGCTTGAGGTATTCCCATATGTCCCGGATACAGTGAAAACAAGAATTGAAAATTTAAAGTCTAAACTTCTTTCACCTGCTGGAAAAGAAGTACTCATCAAATCTG